TCTCTCTCTCTCTCTCTCTCTCTCTCTCTCTCTCTCTCTCTCTCTCTCTCTCTCTCCTTCTCTGTTTCTCGTCCTTCGATTCGCGTTTACGGTAATCTTTCACAATGATTATATTAGCGATACATAACCACTATACGATAATACGGAAATCGCAGGGCTTCGTTGAAATTGTTCCAAAGCCGGACCCGCCGAGATAAATTTACCTCCCAGTTATAGCTGACTTCTGTCAAGCCGAAGTACCGAGGCGGGTCTGATGCCAAGAGCAACATCGCTGCCGAATATAATCGATATCGCCGGTTCACTTCTGTCCGTCCGAAGTAAATTTCGAGTCAAATTCGCCGCGACGTGATTTAGCCGGGAACGTCTCCCGAGAACGCCGATCGAGCGAGCGCTCGCTACGAAATGTCAAATATCTACTCCGCGTCGTCGTTTTTTATTCTCAGATGATAAGACGTTGCTTCTACAAAGCGCTGGAATTTTGAGAAATGGATCGAGCGGGTATCTCTCCCGTGAATCAAAATGTTCCGTAAGATTTGAAGAGTAACCAGCCGCGCGGGCCGGGCGACTTCTCGTAGAAAATAGACGAGAGACCGGCGGCTTTCCACGTTTGTATGTACGTCATAAATCAAAATGAATGATACGATCCATCGGAATACCATACCACCACCGACAGATGCATCAATCTTCTCTCACATGTTAGGGGTGGTATCCTCGCTCCAGTGGCAGTGACTTTTTGACCGCTGCTGCTCATAAAAGCGGCCGAGACTATCGCGTTTTCCCATAAACACGCATTTGTCCCAGTCTGCTAGAGCGTTCGCACAGATGATTTTTTATATACAATTTCCGCGCGCGGTATATCATAGCTGCGCCTGCTATGCGAATCGCTCGAATTACAATCGAGGAAAGAGTTATTCGATTAGTCATATCCTTTCTATTGTATATCGTAATTAAAATGAAAATAGAGTTATCTTTATAGCCTTAGCTTTACAGCCATCTTTATCTATTAAAACATTTTGATCGATAAATATTGTGGTAATACAATCACAGATCGCCTATATTTATTACAATATATTTTTTTTCTGATGAAAAAGGAATAACTGTGTTCGTCGCTTTCCGGAAGTTGCAACGAAGTCCTGCGACTTGTAAAATCCACATTGATCAACCGACCGTGCAAAGACTTTCTTACAGCTGTTACACGCGGAGAGAAACGATCGTAGGAACAATCACTGCACCTTATTGCGACACTCCTCGGCGTAACTTTATACCACATGATCGTACCAGGAGTTTACAGGTTTACAGGTTTGCTTGGAGAAAATTAGTAATTAGGAAATCCGAAACGTGTCGCGGCAAGACAAAACATAACGATGATCTGATTTATTAGTTGGCTCCCGAAATCAGGACAGTTTTGCAGTAATAGAATCAACAAGGTAACAACAGCCATCTTCTCGCTATGATTAATCCGAGTAATAAACGTCGCGTCTCGCGTCCCACGTTTCCCACGTAAGATTGTCCACATGAAGGATTTGCACGAGAGACTGCCAGAAATATATAAACGAAACGAGAACGCGCGCGGCGGGCAAACTCATTGCGAGAGAACGAACGCACGTTTCTTAAACGGTGAAACCATCGAAATTACAAACGCGATAACGCCGAGTTGTCACTTGTGTATCAAATGATGAGTGCCCACAGAAATGTAAACATCGAGCAATGAGATTGTTCCAGCGATCCCATTTCTCTCGGATCACAGTCACACCCCGAAAAGTCCGACGGCCGGATTGCAGGGACACGCACGTCTGTTTCTCTGTGTCTGTGTCTACTCTGTGTATATATATATCTGTGTGTATGCGTATTCGTCTACGTGTACTTGCTTGCGCACGATGGTCAAGATCGCTCATTGGCGGGTGGAAGGCACGGGATAAGGATATCAAAAGGGGAGGGTCGCGAGATTCGACGACGATAACGGCGACAATGACGGCGACGACGATTGCTCGCCGAGGAATCCGCGCGGATCGTCCTCGATCGCGTTGTCCGAACTATCGATCGTCGCCGGTCCAATCGCTCGCCGCCCACGCGGGCAGCGGCGTCTCGTACTCCCATCCAGGGCCGCAGTAACGCCACGCGTGCAGATACATCACCAGGTCCGACGGCTTCGGATCCCTGTACTTGACTTTGCACTCGTAGCAGTGCGGGTCGACGGTGACCTTGTCGTTGGCGAAAGTGGAATCCGGCGGTTCCGAGCCCGTCTGCGTTCCCACGGTGACCTTGAGGGATTCCTGCTGTGGTTGCTGTTGCGGCTGCTGCGGTTGTTGCTGTTGCAGCTGTTGTTCGTCCTCGACCAGGCCCGGGGTGGACGATGGTGAGGAACCGTTATCCTTGTCGCTGCCGGAGCCCATCATGCGCTCCTCCAATTCCAGCTTCGGCTTGAAGAGGCTCATGTCGGAATCACCGTCCATGCCGAGCCAATTTTCGGCGTTGTGAATACTGATGAGGTCTCGAACGAGCTCCTCGTCGGTCTTGCCGATATTGCCGCCTTTACCCTTGTGCGGTCCGAAGACTACGTGATTGTATAGAGGATCGTTCACCACCGGATAGCCGAGGTACTGTAGGTGAACGCGGATCTGATGCATGCGCCCGGTTTGCGGCTTGCACAGCACCACCGAGGATTTACCGTTGTAGCTGAGACGCTTGAAGCGAGTGACGCAATCCTTGCCCTTCTCGGAAACCTTGCAGACGCCGATCTTATAAGAGACGACCTCGATCGGCTCCGAGCAGATCACCTCCTCCTCGGGAAACTCACCCTCCACTCGGCACACGTACTGCTTGTGGACCTGGAATGTAGAAATACGACGTGTAAAAAAACACACGAACGATTACGGCCATCGGGTTTGCGCGCCAATGTAAGCGTCTTCGTCGTTCAATGACGGACGAGCGATGCCAGCTGCGCGGCTGTGCGTTTTTTTTCTCGTATACCGAGAGCCGCATGTTTACGCAACCGACCTGTCGATTTCTTATTTGGTGCTCCATCTGCCTCGCCTTCTTCGGCGTTCTGCCGAACAGGAGAATGCCGCTAGTCAGCCGGTCCAGTCTGTGAATGGTTCTGAGATTTTTCAGATTGTACTCCTTCGCTAGGATGAAGACCACGGTGTTGTGCCGATAACGGCCGCATGGATGCACCTACGAATATAGACAGGTCAAACGATTATTTCATTTTTTTCATTTTTCACGTCACGTTTTGTTCGAGTTTGATAAAAAAAAAAAAACACAACAAAAATTAAATTTTCATTACATTTTAATTACATTTTTTGAAAAAAAAATTCTCAAAATTTATTTCAATTTTTTTATTCTGTAGCCCCTTAAAACCCGTGTTATTTTATATATTACGAATGTAGATCAGATCTGGATTGCATATCACAATTCGCAAAAATAGAAGATGACCTATTCTATTCTAATATTTCTAATATTATAATATTTTATTGCAATCGTTATAAATAAAAAAATGCAAATTATTCCATGAATAAAACTATTATCAAATTACCTTTTTAAAAAAAGTAAAAAAAGGATGTCAAGTGTAGTGGATGCTTGAAAAAAAAAAAGAAACTTGTACCAAGTTAAAAAATAGAACCTAACTGACAACATCTTTTATTTAAAAAAAATGGAATCTAAGTGATATGTATCTCTGTATAGAAGAAGTATGTATCTCTTCATCGAAGGATCTTTTTACTCTGACCGATGGTAGTAATTTTAATTCTTTAAAAAAATTATGTTACGAAATTGCTATATCTAACTCAATTCTAATTGTAATCAAACTAAAAAATAAAATCTAAATGCTAGTATCTTTGTGATCTTTGTATTCATTGAAGAGTCTTCCTATTCTAATTCGAATGGAACTAGCTTTAATTAAAAAACAAAAAAATTTGTTTCTACATTGCCAACTCGATTCAAATAATATCATTTGTATAAAAGATTTGATATCAATAACTGGCGCCAAGTTATAATCCTATTATAAAAATTGCGTTATTCTACTAAACTCAAGTGATATGTATTAAAAAATAAAATCTAACTGACAATATCTTTTATTTTAAGAAAGTAGAATCTAAGTAGTACGTATCTTCACTGAAGAGTCTTTTTATTCTAATCCACCTGATAGTAGTCTTAATTCTTTAAAAAAAAATTTGAATTTTGAACGAAGAATTTTCCTATTTTGACCCAAATGATATAAGCTTTAATTTAAAAAAAAAAATTTTGTTTCCACATTCCAACTCAAATGACTGTAATAATGTATAAAATTTGTATAAAGATTTGATATCAATAATTGGCGCCAAGTTATAGTCCTATAAACATTGAGCTATAAGTCCACCTTAGTTAAATTATGCATTTCAATTGTATAAAAGATTTGATATACCATTTAAAAAAATAAACCCAAGCGGTAGTAACTTTAAATTAAAAATAATAAAAACCAAATTATATGTATATCTTTCTATCCATTCAAGATTTCTTTTTCTAACCCAAGTGGTAGTAATTATTTAGCTCTAAAATATTATTATATCACGACTTGCTTTACTCAACCTACGTTTTTATCACCAGAGAATTCACCAGAGAAAAAGTAACAGTACAGATACAAAATAAATGATAAAATTTTATTTAAATAAAAAAATTTTTATGTAAAAACACTTGGCGCTACTCAGACCAAATAATAAAAATGCAAAACTAATGATAAAATTATTTGAATGTTATAAATAAAGGCAAGACTTGTTGTTTAATATGATAATTACAATTTTATATATATATATATATATATATATATATATATATATACTATATATTATT